ATAAATTAAAAAAAGAATTATGGCATAAGGCCAAATAGAATCTAGTTAAGTTTCATATTGTAGCAAAACAACCAGTTATCAAAGTACTTTGAATGTAATAAACATTTTCATGTTTTCAGATTAAAAAAACTGTAGCCATTAAGAGATAAATGATCTCACTTTACTCATAAAATTATTTTTTTTTAAACTGAAAAATTAGTAATTTATAATAGTTTTGAAATCTTGTTACTTTTCAGTTTCAAAAATAATCACGCTGGCTGTAATACACCTCTGTAAGAGTCACATGTATTTCCCGCCACAGGTTCCTCTATGTTTTTTTAAACATACCTAAATCTATGCATACATATTTAGGGGTTTTCCTTTGAAAAAGGTATAAAAAATGGGATCACACCATAATATATTGCTCTATAATTTGCTTCCCTCCCCGACACCCTTCTCCTCTGCCTCCACTTTTTATTATCATGAACATTATGGATTATAGGTCTCTATAGGACTGTCAAAAAAAACCTTTTAAAAATGGAGCCACTTTAGGAGAGGTAAAAAATGGCATAGATGGTAGAGGCTCTGTTCATCTTTCTGGCAATCAAATCAAAGTTGTGACAAGCAGCAGCAAGGAAAAAATGCCTGAGATCTAGATGAACAAGCCATACAACTAGGGAGAAATCCAAGAAATTACCCTGCAACGGCAGAAGTTAGGTATGGAAGAGTTAAACGATTAAACAAACAAAAAACCAAAAAAGAAAAAATGAAACCACTTTTTTTTTAATTTTAATTTTATTTTATTAGTTTCAAGTATATAGTACATTGGTTAGACATTTGTATAGTTTATACAATTGCTCCTTCTCTCCTCTGGTTTTCCACCTAGCCATTACATTAATGCTAACTGCATTCCCTATGTCGTGCTCCCCATCCTTGTGACCATCTATCAACTACTAACTTGTACTTAACCCTTCACTCCATTCTCCCAGCCTCCCCAAACCTCCTCACCTCTGTCTGTCAACAAATCGTCCTCTATATTTGTGCGTCTGTTTTTGATTAGTTTGTTCTTTTTGTTCCTTAGATTCCACATATAAGTGAAATCATATGGTATTTATCTTTCTCTGTCTTATTTCACTCAGCATAATAACCTCTAGGTCTGTCCATGTCGTTGCAAATGGTAGGATTTCTTTTTTTTAATGGCTGAGTAATATTCCATTGTATAAATGAACCATAACTTCTTTATCCAGTCGTCTGTTGATGGCATTTAGGTTGCTTCCATATCTTAGCTATTATAAATTGTGCTGCCATGAATATTGGGGTGCATAGTTCTTTAAGAATTATTGTTTTGTTTTTCTCTGGATAAATACCCAGAAGTGCAATTGTTGGGTCAAAAGTATATCCAAAAAAGGGAGAAACTTTAAAATGGAGCTGAAGCTGCCATGGCCAGAGGAACTGCCTTGCCTGTCTTATGTCTCAAACCTTTGGTAGGTTAAATCAGGGCAAAATAATCTTTGGATTGGGACTAAAGCAATCTTGTCTCCTAATTGAAACACTATTTGGGCTTCTGCCTGAATCAGTATGTCCTGAATAGCTATTCTTTGATAGTAAATAAATGCTTATTGCCTGTCACTTTGAGAGGTCTTTATTTTTAGGTTAATAGGACAAAGGACATGGAGGTAGATATGCCCCATTTGTAAAAGTAACCACTTAATATTTCGCAATAAAGGGGTATCAATTTATTTAGCTATTTGCTATTCATGATTATTTTCAGTTCTTATAAGCAGCAAATATTGTACCTATATCCTTAGAATTTGGATGATTTTATTTCTGGAGGACAGACACCTAAATGTAAGATTGCTCTATCAAAAAGATACCACCAGATTGCCTTCCTGAAAGGTTGTAGCAATTTATGCTTTCAACAGTAAATGCATGAAAGCTCCTGTTCCTCCAAATCCTTGTCAATATCGAATTAATCTTTTATCTTTTCTTCAATGTGATAAATAGAAAATGATTTCTCATTATTTAGCATTGCTCTGAGAGAAGTTATTTCATTTTGCATTTATTTTAAAATTAATGTATCCATATTTCTAGAGCTTGGGAACATCTTTTATCTGTTTGTCTAATTTGTTGGCATTTCACCTGACATGTTGTATGTTTTCTTTCAATCACATTTTCTTTAAACTTTCTTAGTGTCTTTTGTCATTCATAAATTTCACCTTTATATGTAGTTAAATCCCTTAGTATTTTTCTTTATAATTTCGAGATGCCTGTTTTTCTTAAGAAAGTCTTTTATTGTTACTATTTCCAACACTTTCCTATTTTATTTTTACAGTGTTCTATAATTCATGTAAAATTAATTATTTTCTGTTATGATGTAGGAGTCTAACTTTGTTAGATACATGGCCAATTACACAAATGTCATTTAGCTAATCAACCACTCTTCTGTCATAACAAATTACCACAAACTTAGCAGTCTGAAACCCACAAATGTACTATCTTACAGTTCCATATATCAGAAGCCCAGTGCAGTCTCACTGGGTTTGTCAAAATGTTGGCAGGGCCGTGTTCCATCCTGGAGCTCTACGGGAGAATCTCTTTTTTCACTCTTTCAGGTCGTTGGCAGTATTTAGTTCTTTTCAGGTCCCCATTTTCCAGATGACTGTCAGCTGAGGGTCATTCGTAGCTTTGGGAGGCTTTCGGCTCATGGTCCCATTCCTCCATCTTCAATGCCAGCAAAGACAGGTTAAATACCTCTCACACTTCAAATCTCTTCTGCTCCTTCTTCCATTATATCTCTGAACCAGTCATTCTGCTTTCCTTGTGCTTTTTTAAGGGCTCGTATGATTACACTGGGACTACTTGGATAATCAGGATAATCTCCCTATTTTAAGGTAATCTTAAACCCATCTGCAAAATTTCTTTTGCCATATAAGGAAATATACACAGGTTCCAGAGATGAAGGCATAGACATCTTTTGGTTGGTTGGTTGTGTGGGTTGGAGGTATTATTCTGCCTACCAGAGCTGCATTTTATGATGTATTACATTTTCATATTTTGGATCTTGGGCCCACACTTCTGGGCTCTGTTCTGTTACATTGATCTATCTATTCTGTGCCAATTCTATATTGCCTTGATCATTGCAGCTTTACAGAATGTTTTATTTGGTAAGACAATTTCCTCTTGAGTAATCTTTACCAAAATTGTCTGGGTGATTCTTATGCAGGACTTCTTCCAGACTCTTAATGTCAGCCACAGTGCCTTTGGTAACAATTTTAGAGTTTCTTTAGCAGAGAGTTGTGCGGAGCAATCATTTTATAAAAAATTTTTAAACATTTATAAAAGTTTTTATGCTAAACATTTTATTTAAAGTTCTTATGCTATTGCTTTCATAAACATAAACTTTGGAAGTATTATTGAGAATGAGGATTTTGGTGTTTGGGGGTAAACATTAAGGACTAGTTGACTTCTCTAGTCAACTGTAAACTATTGTAAATAAACCTCTGATCCTATGTAAAGCTGCCCCAATGAGAAGCAGTTTTGTAGTAAATCAATACCTGTGATTGTCTGCCCTTGTGACTTTGGATTGGGTATTCATATTTGAAAGCAGTTTGTCTTCTCCATCCATGGCCATTTAATACCAAATGCTCACTCAGCTTTCCTGATTTGTCAGAACAGTCTCTGTACCTGGTTCCCACTGCTCTGGAAGATGTCAGTCTTCCTTAGAGGGGTCCCCGAAGTGAGTTTCACAAATATTTCAAGTTATACCCTCCATATATAGAAAAGATCTTTTTAGCTACTTTTGCTTGATTTGGTAACAGACAATTTTATTTACATAGTTATAACATCCTTTAACACTTTTTTACTTCAAAGCAAAATCACAACTGCAAAGTCCTTTTTAAAATATTTTACACTATTATTAAACTTTAATTAAGGCATGTTCTATAAAGTCACTGAACTCCTGAACAATCATGATGTTTCTAAGAAAATCAGTTATCATTCAAGCATTACACAATTCTCTCTATACACATTTCATTAAGAAATGCTTTCTTATTACCCCTTCATGCCAGTGTATGTCCAAAACTTTCTATAATCTGCAGTTTTAACTTTAAATCCACAAACTATTTTACCTTAGTTATATGCAAGCTCCCTCATCTTGATCCTATCTCCACATGACACTAATAATTGTTTGTGCCCCTTTGCCCTTGAAAAGCATGTCAATTATGCTTGTCCATCACAAGAGTGCCACTCATGAATCTTTCGGCATTTAACTGGCTCATGAGACAGAAAAATCTCCTGAGATATAAATGATATTGAAAGTAGGAGACAGGTCCACTCCTCTCTGCAGTAAAAATGATTTTCTTCAATTCCTCAACCCACATATCTCCATTATCTGCCAACCGAAAATCTATAGAAATTCAACTAGGAGTGTGGTGAAACTGATGATTCTTTCCCAGGTGTTTGGAAAGGGCCCTTGTCAATTCAATTACGTGTGCTCACTGTTGTGAAATTATTCCTAGGTAGAAGCTGGAATAGCTAAGCTGATGAAGATATAGGTCAAGATTATACTTTTAGCTCAGAAGAATTGTTGATGCTACAAAATTACATTTATACTCTTATTTAGTAGGTATGATCATGGATATACACACGTGGAGATGAAAATCGATGGCCTTTGTCATCTCAGCTCTTAAATGCTATTAGTGGCAAACTGTATTCATAAACCACCTTCATTGTGCAGAAAAATACTTTTAAATAATCAATACCTTGAATTTCAATAATGTAAGAGCAGATACACACACACACAAAAAAACCTAAAAAGAGACAAATACCCTGAGGGCTGAAGGGATCTGTGCAGACCAGAATCCACCAAGAGGCAAACCAGCATGTATGTGTATGAAGGGTGGGAAGCTCTGGCTTCGCTAATGAAAACTCTGCTTAGCTTTAATGATGAATTTGAAAAAGCCATCAAATTTGTCATCACCTATCCTCACTTCAGGGGCATGGGTCTTTGTTGAGATAGCACATTTATTACTCTACAGACATTTATTGCATATCTATTAGGTCCAAACCATGGTGGGATATACACAAATGGAAAATCTGCCCTTGAGGAGCTCACAATCTAGCATGCCAGACAGTTAAGCAGCTCTCTATTACACACGTAGGGTGAAATCAAGGCCTATGAGAGAATTTCAAAGTGGTACTAGGTTCCAGAGGCTGGAGCGCATAATTGTGTATGGATACAAGGGAAGATGTACAGAAAAGTGCTGTGCTTTCAGAAGAGGGTTAATTCTGAAAAGTCTTTCTGATCAAATGTACAAAATACAGCTTGCATTGAAAAAGCAAAATAAACAGGTCAATCCTTAACATAATTCATTATAGCAGTGATACTGGGAAGATGATCACAAACCAAAAATTTTAACTACTTTTGACTAACGAAATTAATACGAGGTAAACATTTATTTTTTTACAGGCCAGAAACATGACTCAGATGTGATCTACATCTGACTTTTATTGAAGCTCTTGTGTTGTAGAGGACATAATGGGAATAAAAAAAACTTAATGGCAGTCTTGAAGTAACTGTTCTCTTTTCCTACTCAAGATGCAGTAATTAAATATTTTCAGTAACTATGACTTTTGACTCGAAACACTGCTTTAACCGTTTAAGCAGGAATAAATTAAAGTGTAAATTTTATTGGTTAAAATTATTTCCAAGGACTTCAAGTTAACATTATACAAATAAAATGATATCAGTGAGGTCTCAAGGATTGTATCAAAACAGTAGTTCAATTTCAACATTAACAGAAAGTGTGTCCCTATGTTATCAAACGAGTATATTTCTTTTGACATAAGAAAAAATTTTGACTTCATAATTTCAATTGAAGTTATATTAAATGAGACTTTTCTGAGAATCTGGCTTGGCAGTGAAGTCTGTGTGCTTTAAGGGCCTGTTCAAGTCAAGAATTCTTTCAGTTAAAAACTTCTGTCCACAAAATACGTATATTTTTGTGAATATACCTGAATTTATATTCCAGAATATCTCTTTTGAGGATAAGTAGATTTTTTAAAAACTTGTACATTGTCCATTTAAGTGTTAGTACTAAAATAATTAAATTCAATTACATCTCAAATAATATCAGCTAAGATTTATCAGGTGTTTAGGAGAACTGTTTTAAGCACTGCTCATACTGACTTATTTAATACTGCTAACAGCTCTCCAACCTTACCAGATAAGAGGCAGAGGAAAAGGAAAAAAAAAGGGAGTAAGGAAGCTGTCTAGAAACACAAGCCATAGTTTAGTAAAAATAAAGAGTGGTTTTATTGATTACATATAATTTTAGCTATATTAGCATATATTTATAAACTTTAAGAATTAGAAATAAGTGACTTTTTTTTACCAAGAAAAATCTAGGTTATGGCAGCATGTTCGATGAAAATTTAAGTCCTGCACAGTTATATCTATTTTTCAGATAATCACAAAGTCATCATTCAAGCTTTATATTAGGCCACAATATAGTCACCCCTATACATGTATTTCATTAAGTAGAAATAAGACATTGTTTTCTTTTTCAGCAAAATACTCCCTTTTTGTCATATAGACATATCCTCCCCAAATTAATCTTATAATGTACAAAATTTAACTTTTTGTCAATAAGAGCTGCCTCAAATTACTTTCACCTTGGAAAGCTACAAAGGCATGAGAAAGCAGTAAAATACTACTCTGGACTTTGTATTTTGAATTTTTCATTTTTACCTAAAACCCCAATTTATAAATAAAACTAAATTAATCCCACATTAGAATACTTATTTAGGAAAGTCTTTTTTGTGTACATGTTTAACACGGAGAAGGAAAACATCAAATAGTTTGAGCAAGTATTTGGCGGACCACAGAAAGAAAACAGGACTGTGTGAAACGAAAATGTTTAAGTGTTTTAAAGCTGAAGAGATTGATGAATGTCATTCAAATTTCTCATCTCCTTCTTCCACATCTTTCAAATTGAGTACTTCCAAAGAACCTTTGCCTTTTGTCTCCTTTTTTATTAGCTCATCAATTTCTCTGAAGCAGCCTGGGTCAATTAGACACACCTGAAACATTTAACACAGCTGTTTACCACCTGAAGACGAGCAATACAACAGAATGAATACAGCTTTAACTTCTGCTAAGACAAACACACAATTCTTTCCAGATGTCTCTACTACTATAACTCTACAGTGCAATAGAGAGGACGATGCACCGGGCAGCAGACTGGATTCTAGTCTAGCCTCTGCCATTAAGTATGCACGTAGGCTCCAGTGACAAGGCATTAACTTCCTTGTTTAAAGACTTATTCCGATTCCTCAGCTGTAAGTCAAAGTGGTTGGATTAGAAGACTATGGTCCTTTTCATACAAAAACTTAGCGTAACATTTTATAGCTCAATGAAATCACCTCTTTTTATCCACATCCTAAAGAGAGAAAGAAGCCTGAAGGCCTATATAGAAACCAAGCATAAAGTTTGGAAAAGATTATAGAACTCCAAAGGGTGTCAGATGTGTTGTTTCACATCTGAAGTGGAATGCTCAACAACCCTCTAGAGTTCATTTATTTCTAAAGAAGCTGCAAGTCTAGAGACATGAATTCACAGAAAGCTAAGTTAACGCTATGTCTCAAGCTATGGGATAAGGATTCGAAGACATGATGTTTTTGCTGCTTCTTTAAAATGTTCTGTTTTAAATGAGGCTGAACAACTTTTAGTATTTTATTTCCAATTTCCTCATAATATAAACTCACTGTAAAACACATTCTCTCATCTAAAATCTGGATAAGTCTTTAAACAAGGAGTTTAATGCCTTGTCACATGACCAACATGATTTTATTATGACTAATATAACTAGAAAACAAAAAAATCATAAGTATGCTTAACCACAATTTAATTCTACTTAGACCTCAACATTTTTACCTAATTCTAGTTAAGATGTTTCTAGGAATGTCTTACTGTTCACACATTCTAAATGTTCATTACACATTTATGACTAGAGAATCAACTATTTTGGTAACACAGAGGCAAAGAAATAAGAATATTTTAATCTTACAATTTCTAATTGTTGACTGTAGTCCTCACTTTCTATAACCTTGATCAGTGGCTTGAGCTTTTCTTTCAGCCTTTTTCCTTCATTTACTGGAAGAATGAACCGAAGTCTCATGTGAGCACGTTCTATTTTCATTTTCTCTTTTAACTGCTTGATCACTTCCAAAGCCTATCAAGACAAAATTGAAAACGTTTGCAATTTCTTTGCTGCTTCTGCTGCCTTATAAGGTATTCAAAACAAAAGTTTCCATCTAACTGGATTAGGTAATGGTTTCTTAGATAAGACATGAATATAAGCAACCATAGGAAAAAAATAGGTAAATTGGAATTCAAGATTAAAAACTTTTGTTTCAAAAAACTATCAAGAAAATGAAAAGACAACCAACAGAATGGGGGGAAATATTAGCAAATCATACATTTGATAAGGTACTAGTATCCAGAATATACACAGAACTCTTACAACTCAGTAATGAAAAGACAAATAATTAAAGTGGCTAAAGGATCTGAATAGTGATTTACCCAGAGACAAAGCGTCAATAAACATATGAAAATAAGCTCAAATCATTAGTCATTAGGGAATGCAAATCAAAACCTGAAGGATAACCCCAGGATGGTTATAATCGAAAAGACAGACAATAACAAACATTGTTGAGGATGTGGAGAAATTGGAACCCTTGTACATTGATTGTGGAAATGTAAAATGGCGCAGCTGTTTTGGAAAACGATTTGGCAGTTCCTCAAAAGGCTAAACATGGAGTTCCATATGATCTAGCAATTCCATTCCTGGGTCCAAAGAAATAAAAACATATGTCCACAGAAAAACTTGTAATGAATTTCATGGCAGCATTATTCATAATAGCTAAAAAGTGGAAACCCAAATGTCCATCAACTGACGAATGAAAATAAAATGTGGTATTTCCATACAATGGGATATTATTCAGTCATAAAAACATTAATACTTGTCTGCAAAAACAATGTAAGTAGTAAGAATGAAGTACTGATACATGTTACAACATAGATGAACCTTGAAAAGGCCACATGTTGTATGATTCCATTTATATGAAACATCCAGGATAGTCAAGTCCATAGAGACAGCAATCTGTGGTTGCCAAGGGCTTGTGAGAGAAAGAGGAAGGAGGAATGACTGCTAATGGGTACAGGGATTCTTTCTGGGGTAATAAAAATGTTCTCAAATTAGGTAGTAAGAAAGGTTGCCAAACTTTGAGACTATACCAACGAATTGTACACTTTAAAACGGTGACTTTTATGGTACATGAATTATATATAAACTTAAAAAAATCTAAAAAGTGGCGTTACAATGACTCTTTAAAACTCAAAAGTTTTATCTTTAAAGGTTTGATTTGAATAGAAAGATAAGAATCCTATGTATATTCGTTTTTAGTTTAAAAAAATTCCTTTACCTCCCACTCCTGAAAACTTACCCACTTGCTTCCAGGTACTATCGTTTTATTATTACAGACCAATTATTTTAATAATTTCTTCACAGAAAACTGGCTTTCATGAGATACTTTACACTAACAACATTAAAAGCCACTAACCTGCTGTTTGGTACTCTTGTTGGTTTTGACTGAATAGTGGATGTCCTTCATTGCTCTCTCGATAAGGATAACAGTGTATGGTCTCTTCGTTTCAGGGTTCACGCATTTGTCAGCTACAATAGTTGCAATGTCCCTAAACATCTGCTCCAGCTGCGTGTGCCGTTCTTTATCTGATACTTGAACCTCCCCTTTAGTTAAAATCTAAAAAAAATCCCAATATATTTAAGAAAGCAATATCTTTATTACATACTATTTGTTAACTAACCACAAGAATAACAAGAGAAAATTAAATTTCATTCTCTTCAGCTACTGAAATGTAGGTAATCATTTGAGCTTTGCCTAAAGAATGCACTGGATTATCTTGTGTTCTAGAATCTCACTTATTTAGGATTAGGAGGGGAAAAGGCAATCTTAGAAAAGAGTCTAAATGATGAAATACTTGAAATTCTATTTTTGGGTATATTATATTAAAACTATATAAATGGACAAAAAAAGGCAATCTAGTAGAAAACTTAATTTCTGGAGGCTTTGGTAAACAACATCCATGTATGGTGATAGATGGTTGATAGACTTACTGTGATCGTTTTGTAAGGTATGTAAACGTTGAGTCACTGTTATACATCTGAAACTAATATTGTTTTGTCAACTATATTTCATTTTAAAAAAAGTCCAAGTTTTAATTATTAGAGTGAATTTGTGCAGATCAAATTATTGCGTGGTAACTGTTAACTCCAAAAAAATAATACTTAAAAGTTTAACATATATCTAAGTACTTATATGACAAATGGATATTAGGGTCAGTTATGCTGCAGTTGATAAAACCCACCTGCTTACAGATTTCAGTCTGGTCATCTGTTCCAAATGCACTGATGAGATCTTCCTTTTTTGCAACCTGACCTTTAGAAACATTTACAAACACTGAGTGGGTCTGTAGAACTTCATCGAGGTCTTTTTCCCTTGTGAGGAGAGGAAAGTCCTAAGTGAATGCACTTGAAACTGGTACATTCATTCACATTTAATGCGAAACGGCAATGATATAAACAGCAAGAAACAACAAATACTCAGAAATGACCCTCAGTGCCACGAAAACATTTTCAGAAGCCTCTGAACCGCATTTGTATTTGCATTTACTCACTGGAGAAAAACGTCGTGGGAAGATGCGTGAAACGTTGTCGGGGGGATGTCGGGGTCCGGCTGCAGCCACAGAATACCGATCTCTAGATGGCAGTAGTGAAGACACTACGCACTTCGGTGAAACTACTGGGCTAAGATCTATGACATCGCATGTACTATAACTATACTTACTTGGAAAACTAGGCTCTTTGCCTTTATCATTATTCCGGCAAAAAGATCATAATTATGGGAGTTCCTTGGCTCTAGCCTTTGTGACAGCATTAAAGCAAAACCAAATCCCAAACCAACAACCCAACCCAAACCGGAACGCTTGATTTACAGTGACTTCTCAAGCTCACAGTAGGAATAAGTTTTTCATTTCCTTCTCTCACAAGACCCCAGCTTGGCTTATTTATTCGACCATCAGAGGTAGACAGCTTCTGAGGCTACCGGCTCTGGCTAGGGCCCGGGAGGGAGAAGGTCACTTACACGCCGCTCCGCCAGCCGACGACCTTGTTTTTGTAGCAGGCGATTTCGAAGCGCTTCCCGGCACGCTTCATGCGTACTACAGCCACATTGGTTAGACGGATCTGGTTGGTGGGAGTAAAGATCGACATCGTAGCTGCTCACAGACCTACGCCACCGGCCTGAGGGCCACCTGCGCCCCGCTGTAACGACCCGGCGGCGCGCGGCACAGTAACACCGGTAGAATGGTCGGCGCCACAACTAACTCGGCCCAGCTGGCCGCCACAACACACCCGACTACCTACTTATTGCGCAGGCGTCAGGTGATAGCGAACCGAACTGAGAAAAGTAAGCAACGACGCCTGCGCATTGTGGCTTTTACGCCATCGTTCCGTGCCGGAAAAGAGAGAGGCGTTCTTCCAAAAGTAATTTAAGTTCAATGAGCTAAAGAGCTTTGATTGGCTGGTGGAGCTGATGTTTGCAGACCGGGTGGAAACAGCTCTAGCGTCTCATAGTTCCGCCGAGTTCAGGGCCACAACCACTTTAACCTTTTATTACGGAAAAATATCAACATAAAAACAGATAAAAAGTGTAAGGAACGCCCATGTACCCACCGACTCCCTTCAACAGTTATCAACATTTTGTTGTTCTTGTTTCATTCTCCCTCATTTTTTGTTGGAGTATTTTAAAGCAAAACATCATACGGTTTTAGCTTTAAATACTCCAGTCTATCCTACTAAAATAACTCCCAACATGATTAACCACAATTCCTTAATACCGTCTAATAGCCCATAATTAAATTTCTCCTACGTAATGCTCTTTCACAATCGGCGTGTTTCAACAGAGAGCATTTGGTTGATGATGCCCTTAGTCTATTTTAACGACCCCCCGCACCCTTTTTTTTCTATGCTTCTGCAATTTTGACAATGCTTCTCTCCAGACCCGCCCCTTCATCCTCTGTGCCAAACTCGGAGGGGCCGAGAGCACTCCAGCCGGCGGACCCGGGAGCTCTCTGTGGTGCTCACTTCTGGGCCCGCCCCTTCCCCCTCTGAGCCAATCCCGACGAGCCTAAGAGTGGCATGGCTGCCCCCAGCTCCGCAGTCTCAGGCTGTACAGTTAACTAGTTGTGAGGTCTTTTTGACAGTCTCCCCCTTACCCAGGCTGGGCGGCAGGTTTTTTAGAGCCGCGGTCCTAGTCTTCTGTCAGGCTGCAGAGCCTAGGCTCCGAGGAGAATGGGTAAGGGCCCTGGCTGGTAAGGTTCGTGGGGCTGGAGGGAGGAAACCGTTTTTCTGAGGCCCTCTTCCGGCGGAGTGGCGTTCTCAGGACCCTTCAGAGATTGTTGCACTTGTCTTTTGCCTTTTGCTTAGAACCTCAGGTAAAAGGCAGAGAAAACTCACCCTGCCCCTACCACTTACCCACGTGTATTGAGGATCTTTTCAGGGTGAAGCAGCATCTGTGAAACCTACATTTTAGGTTTCACCTTTTGAAATTGGGGCGCGAGTAATTTCTTAAGAACCCTTTACGAGTAACTATGGATCTTTAAAAATGAAATTAGAAAGTACTATTTTAAGCTTTTCTTATGGAGCAAGCATTACAAAGCAAAATTAAGTCAATTCTACATAAAGCATTTTGACTGTGTATGTGTTCTCTTGCTTCTAAATGCTATATCCAAATAAAGATATATATATATACACACACACGTATACGAGTTATCATTATAATTTATCACATTACTACGTAGTGCATTATTTTTATTAGAATTGATATTCTATAGATTTAGCTTTGAATATGGAGGTTGGTTTTATTTTTTCATTAAAATAAGGATGGACATCTTTGTAGCTTTAAGTAAAATTACGCATATGTATCATTTTAAATTTAGATCCTCCTTTGGATACGTGGGATTTCTCACCTTTAATATCATTATGGATAAACAGGTTTTACATATATTTGGGCTTTGCCTTTGGCATTAGCCTTTGGATTTGTTTCCAGATTGTCATCAGGAAGCAGGTAAGTGGAGTTATTTTTTTTTTTTATAGGAGAGTATTAAGGTATCAGATTTAATAGAGAATTTAGAGTGCAGATTTTCTAAGGCCTTCAGAAGAATGCAGAAAAGCTAAAAGGAACTTTAAATCACTTTATGTTTGATGTCTAGACATTTTTTTAATGCCTAAAAAATTTATTCTCAGTTTTTACAGGCTAAGTTATTATGGACTAACTTATTTACCTTTGTTAAGCTGTGGGTGTCTCATTGTTAAGACACAGGAAAATTTTTGTAATGAAAAATCAAACTTTTGTAAAAAAATCTGTTTCATACTTTTAAGGGGTAATAGTCTTCTTCTCTTTTCTTTCCACTAATTACAAGTCAGAAAATAAGTTTCTACTCTTACCCACTCAAATGCATTATGGATGAAAGTATGTATAGTTTTATTCTTGAACACTTACTTTCAATCCGTATAATGTATAATGGAAATCATTATGGTCTTAAGAAATGTGGGTCTTGCCTTTAAAAGGACCTAATTATACCAAGGGGTTAGTATTTGAGGAGTATAATCAGAAAGACTAATAGAATAATGAAATGGGTCAGTATCTGTGCTGATATTCATCCCTACTGAAGTAGGGAAAAGATTCAAATTTGATGTATTTGTGCAGTCGTTTATCTTCAAGGACAAGAACTCACAGGAGAAATCTGTTCCGAAAACAACTCAGGATTTGATGACAAATGGTTATATCTCTCTTCAAAAAAAGGAGGTCTTTGTGTCTGGAATAAAGATTTTCTATGGTTCTCAGACTGGTACAGCAAAGGTAAGAACTTTTTATAATACTTTTCCTTGGGATTACTGATCAAGAAAATCCCTGAAAAACGTCCTTTAGCAATGAATTGGTTTTCCAGTCTTTCATCTACTTTTTTCTTTTTCTCAGCTTCCATTTTTCCTTTCTGGGATGGTAGGTGGGTTTTAACTCTTGTGCCCAATTCCAGCTGATTGGAGGTATCTGGTGGTCACTGTCATGAGGAGTTTTTGTTGTGAAACTTGCTTCTGTCTCAGTGGAATGGAAAGTTCCAAGGCTGTTATTGATGTCTAGAGGTAGGGGATAGTGGAAAGAGAATGGCAGCAGTAGTGTCCAGTATGGGCCCTGACTTTCACAACTTCACGCATCTAATGAAATATATTTTGATTTCTAATAGTGTAGCAAGTGTTATCAGTAGACACTGAATACTGTTTAAAGTACATACACATCACATATGTATAGCTGAGAGATGCTTTTCATTCTTTAATTGTATCTAGATGCTGCCTGCTTCTTTGTTATGAAGTTCGTAGCTATTTAGTGCTTTCTAGGAAAAGATTCTAAGGCTGACATGAAAATGAATTGAAAAAAATTCAGTCTGTTATTTTTGTATAGTACTGTACAAAAGAGAGTTTTACTGCCCTCTTTGGGTATTTTGTTGAATTATACTTATTTATTATTAAGTTCAACTTTAAGCAACAGAGGTGGGAAACAGGAAGAAATGTAAAAAAAGCATCTGAGCAGCCAAAAACAAAGTTCTTTCAATGTAACTCATAAAAGATTCTATTTATAGCCTCTTTTATGAGTGTTTTAAAAGTTTTTGAAAGATCAGAGTAATCCTTGCAGATGGTAACAAATCCAGGTGTACAGAAGATTCATAATGAAAAGTACTCTCCAGAGAACCTCTTTTAACTTTTTCTATTTTAGTTCCTCTGATGGTTATTTCTTTAACCTTCTTATGCTATGTTTCTAAATTTATCAATGTTAGATAAAAGTTACTGATTTCTTATATTAGTTGACACAAACATTCCTCAAATCTCAGTGGCTTAATATTGTTGCCCACATCATAGTCGGTATGGGTTAGATGGCCCTCCTTAAAACTGTGCCACCTGAAATTCTTTATTCTGCTTTCACATTTGGTTGATTCATATTTGGCTGCGTATAGAAGACTAGGTCAAAAAATTTTTCCTTAAAACTTTGAAGACATCACTTCATTGTCTTTCAGGAGGGAGTATTGCTGATGTGAAGGCTAATCCCCTCATTCTTTTGTAGATGACTTGATTTTGTTTCTGGAAACTTTTACAATCAGTTCTTTGTCTTTGATGTTCGGAATTTTTGTGAGATGGTGCTAGGTTGCATCTCTTTTATTAGCCATTGTGCTGGACACTTGGAGTTCTTTTGAAGATTTGTGTTCATTAATTCTGCTAATATTTCGTGGGTAAATTTTTTTCCCTTCCATTTTTTTCTGTTCTTTCTTTCTGGGACTCCGGTTGAATGTTGGAGCTTCTGGGTGGTCTTCTTCTGTATCTCAAACCTTTTCTCTCATACTTTGTTTGAAACTTTTTCTTTAATTCTATGTTCTTGGATTTTAATTGCAAACCTTTTTTTGAATGTTTTGTGTCAGCTATGATGTTTTTAATTACAAAAATGACATTTTGCTCAATTTTTATGACATCTTGCTCAGAATTTAAGAATATATCTTAATGAGTTGCATTTTCAGTTTCCTTAGTTATCTGCTTTCTTAGTTTTTTCTGCAGCTCATATTTCTCTTTTCTGCTCATCTTGTTCTTGGTGATCCATGATTTTCTGTTCATATTTCGGACAGAATGATGAGGTAGCTAGTGTGTATTTTCTCTGTTACTGTGTGGACGGTTTTGTTTTCTCTAATTGTAAATTCTCATTGGATGCTCTGCACAGGGCGGCTCAGGGCATGCCATATGACCTGTTGGCCCCCCACATCTTCCTCTAACTACCACCTCATTTTTTTTAAAAAATAGTAAAACTCGAAAGTGTCATCTGTGCTTGCTTGAAGATGTTTCTCTACTCTTGTTTTTCTTGAACCATTCAATTAGGCTTGCAGGCCCCAACGTGCTCCCAGTGACTTCCATTTTGCTAATTAATTCTCGGTCTTCATCTTAGTTGATGTAATAGTTGCATGACAATTCCTTCTTGAAATACTTTCCTCATTCAGTTTTCAGGACATTGTTCTCTAGGTTCTCCTCCTACTTTGCTGAGGCTAGTCTTTCTCTCATTTGCTGATTTCTCCCCATCTTCTTGACCTAGGAGTGTCCCAGGGCTCAGCTCTTGAGACTATCTTTATTTGTCTACATTTACTTTAAGGTATCTTGTGATCTAGAGCTTTAAATTATGTTAGATAGAATTTGGCAAACTTTTTCTGTAAAGGGTTCGATTTTCTATTTCACATGTTTTTTATTTTGGGGGGTTTTACAAGCCATATGGCGTTTGCTGCAACTACTCAACTCTGCTGATGTGGTGTGGAAGCAGTCAGAGACAATATGTAAACAAAAGCACATGACTGTGTTCCAGTAACTTTTACTTAAAAAACAAATAGAGGACCAGATTTGGCCTGTGAGCCTTAGTTTGCCAACCCCTGTATTAGATGATGGCCTCTAAATTTATGTTTCTAATCTGAACCATTCCTTAACTCCACACTCATATCCAATTGCCTATTAGATCTTCATGTGATGTCTAGTGGGCATCTCAAACTTAATGCTAAGATCTGAACTCCTGATTTTCTGCCCAAACCTGTTCCACTTATAATCTTTGTTTTCTAAATTTATTTTAATGAGTTTCAAGTATACAGTACATTGGTTAGACATCTAGATAGTTCATAAAACGATCCCACCAATTGCTCCCTCCCTTCCCTGACCCTCCACCTAGCCATCGTATTAATGCTAATTGCATTTCCTATGCCGTGCTCCCCATCCCCGTGACCATGAGCTACTAATTTGTACTTCTTTAACCCTTCACCCCATTCTCTCAGTCCCCCAAAGCCTCCCCTCTGTCCATCACCAAATCGTCCATATTTGTGAGTCTGTTTTTGATTAGTTTGTTCTTTTTATTCCTTAGATTCTGCATATAAATGAAATCATGCAGTGTTTATCGTTCTCTGTCTGACTTAAATACCTACTACGTCCATTGAAGCAATTTCTTTTTCCATCCCCTTCTTTTTAGTCTGTGTGTGTCCTTTAATCTGAAATGAGTCTCTTGTAGGCAGCATATGTAGCAGTCTTGTTTTCTTATCCTTTCAGCCACTCTATCTTTTGGTTGGAGCATTTAATTCTTTTCTCTCTAAGGTACTTATTGATAGGAACGTAGTTGTTACCATTCTTTATTCCTGTTTTTGATACATGTTTATTCTTAAAGAAGCCCCTCCAACATTTCCTGTAATACTGGATTGGTGTCGCTAAATTCCTTTAGCTTATTTTTGTCTGGGAAGCTCTTTATCTATCTTTCAACTCTAAGTGATAGCTTTGCTAGATAAAGTATCCTTGGTTGATGATCCTGGGTCTTCCTCCTGTCGAATATTTTGTGCCAAGCCCTTCTATCCTGCATAGTTTCTTTTGAGAAATCAGCTACCACTCTTATGGGTGTTCCCTTATAAGTAATTATCTGTTTTTCTCTTGCTGTTTTTAATATTCTTTCTTTGTATTTAACCTTTGGCGTTTTAATTATGATGTGTCTTGGTGTGGGCCTCTTTGGATCCCTGGTTTTTGGAGTTCTCTGAGCTTCCTGGGGTTTTATGTCCATTTCCTTCACCAGGTTAGGGAAGTTTTCCATCATTATTTCTTCAAACAGCTGTTTAGCATCTTGATTTTCATCAGTTACATCGATCAGACGTATATTTGGACCCTTAATAGTGTCCCATATGCTCCTTAAATTATTTTTATAGTCTTGGCATCTTATTTCTTGCCATTCTGATTGTGTGTCCTTGGCTTTCCTGTCCTCTAGATAGAGCATTTGATCCTTTTCTTTATTCACTTTGTTTATTCCATTTAATATACTTCTCATCTCAGATAATGTGTTCTTCATTTCATACTGGATTCCCTTTTATAATTTCCATTTCCATTTTTATGTTTTTTATATCTTAGTTGAAGTTCTCACTGAATTTATCTATACTTCCCAAAGTTCGTTGAGTATCTTTATAACCAGTGTTTTGAACTCTACATCTGTTAGATTACTTGACTCCATTATTTCTGGATTTCTGTTCTGTTCTCTCATATGGTTTCTGCTTCTTTGTCTTTCCACTTTGGCTACCTTTCTGTGTCTGTTTCTATTTACTAAACAAAGCTCCTACATCTCACGATCTTAT